CCATCACCTGCCTCGCTGGCAACCTATTCCGACAATACCTTGTGTTGTACTAATAGCTATAATGAGTTACTTATCAGAGCTGTGTCACTTGTGACGGCTGGGCGTGGAGTGCTGACGTCTTGACCTTGATTAGTATTCGTCTTCATTTGTCAACAGATGCGGCTTCCTGCTGAGTTTGTGAAGTGATTGACAGCTCTCATTAACAAGTGCATTTTAATTTAATCTGTTTTAATTTGTTAACGCTACTCTTTTTAGAATGTCATGCACAATAAGCCTATAATGGATTATTGTATGATTTCAGTAGAGGCTAAACTTAATTGTACTTGTTAAACAAATCGACTTGGCTCAACGCCTAAACTTTAGATCTTTGGCAATTTACCAAATTGATTCGGACAGCGAATATATGATTGATTTACGTTTAGAAAAGTAGACATAAGAGCGCCAGTTAATTTAAAAGAGGGCGAACAAAAGTACAGTATATTCTGCATAATTACATGGTTTTATTTAATGTATGTTAAAAGCAAATACTAGGGATTTGTAATGAGAAAATAAGTAACAATAGTTGCAAGCCTATATAGTGGCTTAAACTTGATAACAAATATTTTTTTAAATATTTCTAACAATATATTCACGTGTCAGAAGTTCATTTCATATGGATTCCGTCTCATGTAGGCCTCCGAATGCATGATAGAGCTGATGAGGTAGCCAAAGAATCTGCCTTCAAGGAAGATAATTATAACCTTGGATTGCCAACAAGCAGTCTGAGAATAATGGACCAAGAACTTCATTAAATCCTTGTAGATCTGAGACAGTGGAATCTACACTAGTAATTCCATCTATCATCATACCATTAAGCAAAAAGAGCCTTTGGGAATTTTCAAATCTTGCTGATGTAGACGTGACCAAATAAACTGGTAGCAAAATTATTCGCGCGGAAAAAGATAGTGAATTTAGAGACAACACTATTATAAATGTTAAAGACATGTGTAAATATTTCATTCAAAATGATCTACTACCAGAAATTTAGGCAAATATTCCCAGTTTGCTAACGCGTAGGTAGTAAATGTAGGCGATTATATCCTTTCCACCGCTGCCCAGTGGATGTGAGGTGGTGTGCGGGATAAACATATCAATTGTGACACTAGTTCTTCACATATGTCAGTTGCTTGATTTAGAGACTTTGTGGTTGGTCTCGAACCCATTGATGTAACAATATTCATAACCTTTTTTTTAACTAACCCATCAAGACTGTAACTTGCTTAGCTAAATACATTTTGAGGTTCAATCTCGAGCCCATTATGCAGACAGCATGTTGTAACCCTTTCCACCACCGCCCACAGGATGGGTACGGGGTGCATAATAAATTAACTAAGCAAACTAACTAATTCTGTTTTAATCGTGGGCTAGGCTAGACATAATAACTATTTTACAAATGTTATACCTCGCGCTCAGCACAGTCTATGGTAAACGCTGTATTTTTTTTGTCCAGTTGTGGATGTATCGTCGGAAATTTGACACGATCATAACAACTTTTGTTGTCAAAGTTACGAAGTTATGACGAGACTATCAGATATTTTAGCTTCAGTTCATGAATTGTTTTAACATTTAATTTAATTTTAACCTCATTCTCATTGCATTCATCATCCAGAAAAATTAATACTTGCGGACATAGGTAATTTAACTGAAAAAAAACCTTGTAGCACGTACAATATTAGGACGAGAGTATGTGTTTATTTTGTCTTTAGTTTTAACGTCTACACGTCTTCGCTCCTCCCGCCTGGACGGGTATTCCACCTCCCGCGCTGACATAAGAAATCAATGAATGAACGGCCTGGAAAATTCTTTTGAAACTCTGTGATTGATTTGTATGTTCTCTTTGCGACGTTGTGCAGCAGTGCGTAACGAAGCCTCATATACAAAGCCTTTCGCCGTCTCTACACGCGACAAAGATAGTGCTTCAGTTCAATATATATAAAGTAACTGCAAAATATACAAAAGTAGAAAAATCTTGTTATGTGGAAAAGTTCTTTGAAATTTCACAAGTAGATACCTAAAAGTGGAGCAAGATGGCTCACCCGTCCCTGATCAAGAACATCGGGGAGAAAGTCCTTGGCCACAACGGTCTGGTCGATCTCAACGATGTTTGCGGACCTGACAGAGTGATCGGTCTCTATTTCTCGGCTCACTGGTGCCCTCCTTGCAGGTAAGTCTTACCTACCCTACTCTCTCTTGTTCGATTTATGAAGTTTATAGAGTTGTGATGTTGATATATTGTGCTGGCTCGGCTGCTGTTTACAGTCACAAGTGAATTACCTGCATAAAGTTGCTTTGCCTTGATTATTGTTGCTGTTATAGTTTGTGTTGTGGTGTTGTGATTGCAATATATGTTGTAGTGTTTGTGGGCTTCAAAGGAGGCTCGGACAGCTGACTTGTTATTTCCCTGCAGGTAAGAATCTTAACTGTGTGCAGTGCTGTATAGATTATATTTAGAATGAAATTTATTGTCATGTTCTTTGTTGTTTGTAAATCTTCCAAGAGTGACGTTTCATTGTTTATCAACTCTTTCTTCCACTGTCACTCATTCCACTTGTCCTTAAATTTACCATGATTAAATATGTGGTAGTTTACGTGGTATGTACTGTCATTATTTTTTCAAGTATAAGCAGCCCATCCTCCTGTTTTGGTAGTACTTATAGTAACGATGAGGACCATAGTACACATCCCGACGTACAACAAAATTAGACCATAGAAATCTGAACTATTGAGTTGGACAAACCGGAAAACAAATTTTTACTTGTATTGCTTTGAGAAACCAAACTAACCTAACCTAACCTTCCTAAGCCTAATATCTGAGGCCTAATATAGTACAGTCTTATATATGTGGTATACAAGGTTCAGATTGGTCTTATATATGTGGTATACAAGGTTCAGATTGGTCTTATATATGTGGTATACAAGGTTCAGATTGGTCTTATATATGTGGTATACAAGGTTCAGATTGGTCTTATATATGTGGTATACAAGGTTCAGATTGGTCTTATATATGTGGTATACAAGGTTCTGAATGATTCCTTACACAGGTTCCTAAAGGCAGTTCTGATGTTAGCCAGCCTCGCATACGCCGCAGATGTTATTCTTTTAATGTGGGCTTCAGGAGACAGGTTTGGTGTGATATCAACTCCTAGATCCTTTTCTCTGTCCGTTTCATGAAGGACTTCATCTCCCATTCTGTATCCTGTGTCTGGGCTCCAGTTTCCACTGCCTAGTTTCATTACTTTACATTTACTCGGGTTGAACTTTAGTAGCCATTTGTTGGACCATTCATTCAGTCTGTCTAGGTCATCTTGTAGTCTCATACTGTCTTCCTCCGTCTTAATCCTCCTCATAATTTTTGCATCAACAGCAAACAATGAGAGGAATGATTCTATACCATCTGGAAGATCATTTACATATATAAGAAACAGTGTGGGTCCAAGGACTGAACCCTGTGGGACTCCACTGGTGACGTCTCGCCAGTCTGAGACCTCACCCCTCACAGTGACTCGCTGTCTTCTGTTAATTAGGTACTCCCTTATCCAATGGAGTACCTTCCCTTTCACTCCTGCCTGCATCTCCAGCTTTCGCACTAGTCTCTGGTGTGGCACTGTGTGAAAGGCTTTCTGGCAATCCAAAAATATGCAATCTGCCCACTCTCTTTCTTGTCTGATTTTTGTTGCCTAATCGTATAATTCAATTAATCCTATGTGTGTATGTGTGCGTGTAATTGTGTAGTTACAGGATGAGAGCTACGCTCGTGGTGTCCTGTCTTCCAAGCACTCTATATCATATAACGCTTTGAAACTACTGACGGTCTTGGCCTCCACCACCTTCTCACCTAACTTCTTCCAACCGTCTACCACTGTTTACAAAAGCGAATTTTCTTATATTTCTCCGGCAGTTTGTTTCGTTAGTTTAAATCTATGACCTCTTGTTCTTGAAGTTCCAGGTCTCAGGAATTCTTCCCTATCAATTTTACGTGTGTGTGTGTATTCACCTAGTTGTATTCACCTAGATGTGTTTGCGGGGGTTGAGCTTTGCTCTTTTGGCCCGCCTCTCAACTGTTTACTAACTCCTTTTTTTCTCCACACACACACACACACACACACACACACCAGGAAGCAGCCCGTGACAGCTGACTAACTCCCAGGTACATATTTACTGTTAGGTAATAGGGGCATCCAGGGTGAAAGAAACTTTGCCCATTTATTTCTGCCTGGTGCGGGAATCGAACCTGCGCCACAGAATTACGAGTCCTGCGCGCTATCCACCAGGCTACCAGGCCCCCTCGTGTGTGTGTGTGTGTGTGTGTGTGTGTGTGTGTGTGTGTGTGTGTGTGTGTGTAGTTATCCTCTGCTACCTCATGCTCGCCTCCTAAGCAGTAAACACATTACACGGGCAGGCAGGTAAAGCAGTAAGTTACTCCCACAAAACACCAACATGGGACCCAGTGTTCGTGACTGGCCTCGCCTAGACATTCCGATATTCACGAGTTTCTGAACGTCATTACCAACAATTTAGAACTTTCATCCACAGGCGAGTGCATACCTCCCTCGGTTCAACCATTTGTAAATCTGCAATTGATTATTGCCGCGCGGAAGCAAACTTCGAAGAACCAACATCAGGAAGCACAATGACATTTAGTTACCTGCGCCAAAAGGCTTATTTTTGCAATTCTGGGAACCAAGTGTGGTAGACATACAAATTACAGTGAACTATAACCGTTCTGGACTTGTACCTGAAAACCTATAATTGACTGCGACGTTTGTACTGTGTTGAGAGCGACATTCTCACTTCCCGTGATTTCAGATTACGTTTCTCAAGTCCTCAGTTGAATATGTCAGTTCTCTTAATTATTTGTTCCGAAATTTTCTGTCGCTGATTAATCGAGTTGACTTCGTGTGTATTTGTGTAGGTGATTGAATATGTATGTGTATGTATATATATATATATATATATATATATATATATATATATATATATATATATATATATATATATATATATATATATATATATATATATATATATGTGTACATGTATGTATGAGTATGTGTACATGTATATAACATTAATAATTGTGTAACTAGCGTCAAAAGATTTTTATTTGCTTAGCTAAACAAACTAGAGGGTTCAGTTCCTGAACTGATTATGTGCCTCTGTAATCCTTTACACCACCGCCCACGGGATGGGTATGGGGTGCATAACAAAGAAAGAAACTAAAATTGAATTGATTCCTGGTAGGTTATTACTACTGGAAATGTTCCTGCTACACAACACCTTCCTGATGGGGCTTACTGTACATTTACATCGCATGTTTTGTAAGAAATGAAGAGAACGCACGACATTAATCTTGGGAACTCCTCGCACTTCTGGAGGTCTAATGCCGTCGACGATGTTCTTGGGGAAACATCACATTCAAAAGAGTATAGAAAATTTACAGTATCAGTACGAGTTGCGTTTTCTAATTTCATGCTAGATGCCTATTGCTTTTGTCAAACTAATCCACTTTTTTCAGATATCCCGACAAAATTCAAACAAATTGGCAGATGTATAATATAAAAACAATACGCCATTATACAAGCTGTAAAATACTAAATAAATATAGCTGAGGCGTATGTGAAACTTATGAATAAAAAATAAACTGTAAGTAGCATAAACAGTTGCATCAATACATTTATAATATAAACAAAAGAAGATAACATAGACATTAGGGTTATTTTAAGTAGCTGACAATCTTATTAATAAAAGCACATATTCAAATGGCAAAATCCTGTGTCTAGCAACAGTATTAACCAAATCAAAGAGTCTTCAGAAAGAAACAAAATACTACTATCTTTGAAAACAGTGTTTAGTAGACTGTTTTCAATCTACTATAAACTACTAATAAAAAAGACAATTCATTCTAAAAAAAAGTCTACTAAAAGCCCCTACAGGGGCTTTTCCCTGTAGTATAGAAATGAAAATATCAAAGTGAATATCATGTCAGAGAAGCTGGTGGTTGCTGGCAGTAATATAGAAAACGGTTACAGTGGTCAATTTTTGATATGGACGTGTTTCCATATTGCGGATTAGGGTTGGTTGACAGACATTATATTATATAATATATATATATTTATTTCAGTGTTAATGATTCAGATGCAATAGTTTGAGTATGTCATTACTGTGTATAGAGAAACTCTGGAAGTTTTACTTGTAAGTGAATATGAAGTGCTGCGCTTTCGACAAATGTGACCATGATGTTATTGCACACAAAATGAGCTCAAAAGGAATTACTCGCAAAGTAGGGAGATGTATCTTCAATTTTCTAACAGAGCGCAGAGTGTAATTAGTCAAGACAGTAAAATCCAGATCATCCACCGTCGAAAACTCAGTCCCTCAAGGTACTGTGCTTACTCCAGTACTTTTGCTCATCCTCATAACATACATAGACACGGATGCAAACTATAGTACTGTATCATCTTTTGCAGGCGACACTAGGATTTTCGTGAGAGTAGATAATATAAGAGACAGCAAATCTCCAATCTGATGTTAATCAGGTATTTCAGTAGGCTACAGAAAGTAATCTGTTTAATGAGGATAAGTTTCAGGTACTGTACTATGGAAACAACGGAAAAATAAAAACGGAAAAACGCATATAAAATACAATCAAATCACATTATTTAAAGAAAAAGCGATATTAATGATTTGCGAGTAATAATGTTGGAAGACCTCACTTTTAAAGAACACAATAAAGTAGCTGTCACAATGGCAAAAAATGACTGGTTGGATAATAACCTTTCAAACCAGATGCCATCCCAATGTTAATACTTTCTAAAGACACTATAGTGCTCTCTAGGGTGGAATATTGCTGCTCAATAACAGCCCCATTCAAAGCTGTAGAAACTGCTTACGTGGAGAACGTGCAGAGGTCTTTTACTACCTGAATCTACTCAATAAAACGTCTAAATTATTGGGACTGCTTAAAAATGTTAATCCTGTATTCTCTGGAGCACAGGCGAGAGAATTTACATGTAAAATATTAGAGGGGCTGGTTCCAAGTGTGCACATGGAAATATCTTCGCATGAAACCAGTAGGCGTGGCAGGATGTGTAAAATAGCCCCGATGACAGCAGAGGTGCAATGGGCACACTGACAGAATATTCTTCAGTCATGGCTACCTTGTGG